GCTAATAGTACCAAAAGTTATCTCAAAGAAATAGATTATCTTTTTGCCCAAAAACTTTGTATGATACATGACCTAATTAATAACTATGATTTTAAGGATCTGCATTGCAACTGGATGATCTCTAGTAATGAACTAGTTCTTAAAACTGTGAATTCACTTAAAATAGACCATATCCAATGCTATGACTTTGAAAACATCTATACTTCTTTACCACTTGAAGAAATTTTTACAAGTTTACTAGCGCTTCCAGATTTATTTCCGCAAATTTCTACCATTATCAGCAACGAAAAATGGCAACTTTTCCTCACCAGCGTGCTCTTCAATAATTTTATTCAATTTAACAATAGCATCTTTAAACAAGTACAGGGAATCCCAATGGGAGGTAATTTTTCAAGCTCTATCTATGAATTATTCCTTTTTACAAAAGAATTGACCTTTGTCTGTTCACTCGGTACAGAAGAACGTATGTTTTACCAACACATCTATAGATATATTGATGATGTCATTGCATTTAATAACTACAACAAAATAGAAGTAGCTTATACCTACCCTACATGCTTAAAACTAAATAAAACAAATACAGAACAGCATAATGTAGTCTACCTTGATTTAAATATTATTGATTACAATTTTATAAAAGTTTACGACAAAAGAAGAGAATTTAATTTTTCCACACTAAAATTAACTAACTGGAATTCAAATATTTCCAATACAGTCATACTTAACACAATTTATTCACAACTACTCAGAATAAAAAGAATCTGCAATACTGCAAAACACTTACAAGAAGAAATACTATACTTCGTAACTATTTTGAAAAGTAACCTAATTCCTCATAAAATAATTAAAAATACCTTAAAAAAAGCTGGCATTAGCCTTACCTCTTTTTAGATTTTTTGAATTAGATAATGATATTTTATGCCTAAAGCTCAAGGGACGGTATAAGGTGGATGGCTGATTCAGAGAATCTAATGTAAAAAATGTACAGATAATTCTTGTTTATACAATATCTTTCCTCCAAAAAATTTTGGCACATTACTTTTAATACTATTGTTTAAATAGTTTTAAATTTCTTTAATGGCCAATTTTACCACTTTTATTAACAAATCGGGCCTTTTCGTTTTTCATAGTAGCTTGATCGCCGCTAGTTTGAAGAATTATGACTTTTTATTAACAAAATGACTGTTTTTTTCCTTTTACTCTTGCTTTAGTGGCCAAGTTTAGTAGTTTTAGCTGAATTAGCCATTTTCACTTTCAGTAACAATTTTTTCTTCCAACGACATGACTGACGCCATTTTAAAATCTTTTCACGTTTTTCCGAGCTTACCGACCCCTTTCGAAAATTAGAGACGAGTTACAGCTAACGGACAGTCTTTTCGTATTGGCTGATGCCCAAAGGACATCGCTCCCCCCTACTTACGTCACACGACTGAAGTACACAGAAGGGAATTACAACCCCTCTTCAACTTAGTTTTAAGAGGAAGAGTTCTGCATCGCCACAGGTCAGTTTTTTCTGTTTCTTTTGTTACAATTTTTTCTTGGTCTTAGCAAGACCCACTGTGTTCGTTTTCATCTTAATTTTCATTTAAATTTAATTACAGGTTTCTAAAATATATAAAAGAATAAATCTTTAAGCTTGCAGGCCCAGCCTGTATGTTTTTGTATATTTAGGACTAATAGCAGACCACTGTTTATTTTTATTTTTATTTTTGCCTTGATTTTAGATGTAATCGGAATTGTTTTTACATATTTTAACACCTTAATGTGTCATTTTGTGCGGACGCGTCGGGAAATTGGAACAGAGAATTGAGACTAATAAATTTTTCCAAGACACTTTGTCTAAATTAAAAATTTTGTAGCGAAAAAGTTTCAATTGTCTGTTTCGGCGAAACGCGTAATGGAGTTAGCTTGATTCGACGTTCAAATCAGATATTTCCCTTGAAAAGCCAGTTTGGAAGTCGAGTTCAGCTAATTTACCATTTTCCGCTTTCTATTTTTATCTGATTTTGTTTGTTTTATGTTTTACTTGTTACTTGGTTTGATTTTCATATGTATTAATTTTTCAAATGGCACATCCATAGGTATTTTACTGTATTTTTTGCCATTACTAGTTTCCAACACTGAGTATTTTACTATGTTTTTTCCTTTCTCTTGTAGCATATTTCTCATCCTTCAATGACATTGTTTTTTAAAAACGTGTTGAACTTATTGGAGCCACAGCTCCTGGTAACTTTTAGGCGAGCTTATTACTATTTCTAATTTGTCATATTCATATATATTCTATATAATAATAATATACATTATTTGTTTGTTTTTAGTAGGATCATAATATTCAATTTCTAGAGTTTTTAGTTAAAAAAATTATAAAAATAATATTGCGTGCAAAGGGTTAATATATCAGTAGTGAAACAACACAACCTCAGCTTAAATGCATAAAGAAATTAATCAGCATTCTGGTAAGGAATACAGAAAGAAGTTAATCATAATAATTGGTTAGTTTAAAATAAGACCCTTACAAACGTAACTAAAAAGCCTTATTTTTAAGCCTTATTTTTTTTAATTATTATTATTATTTTTTTTTTTAACATAAAAAAAATCTTTATTCGTTTTCTAAATGACTGCATTAAATCCCTTCACTAAATGTAGTGATTATGACTGGAAATGGAAAACTATAAAACTTTATTCGAAGATAATGAATTAGAGCTTATGAAATTCAAATACGTAGCATATTCGGAAACTAAGTACCGTTTCATTCTAGGCCGTCGCAGCATTGTGGTAGGCGTCCCACGCATGCGCACTAGTCTTTCTTGTTCACTGACTTTCAATTGTCGCCATTTTGGTTGCTCTATTTTGTGTTTTCAGTTTGCTGTGCACATTAAAAATGTTTAAGACAATTAGTTCTCCCACTGACTGTGAGATTCGTGCCGTGAGTAAATTTTTGAACGCGAGGAATGTTAAACTGGCCGAAATTTATCGTCAAGTGACAGAAGTTTATGGTGAATATGCGATAAGTGATGGAATGGTGAGAAAGTGGGTAAGAATGTTTAATGCAGGTCGAACAAATGTCCACGCTGAGGCTCGGAGTGGTCGGCCTTCTGTTGTCACCGATGATTTGGTGAGGAAAGTTGATGAAGCAATTCATGAGAACAGACGCTTCACAATGACAACTCTTTCAGAGGCATTTCCACAAATTTCACGTACTGTTTTGTTCGAAATTGTGTCTGACCGCTTGAATTATCGCAAACTGTGTTCCCGATGGGTTCCAAAAATCCTCACTGATGTTCACAAAACAAAGCGACTTGGTAGTGCCCTGACATTTCTCACGTGGTACAGTGATGAGGGAGAAAACTTTTTAAACCAAATTGTGACAGGTGATGAAACTTGGGTGTGTCATTTCACACCAGAATCGAAACAACAATCGATGGAGTGGAGACACACTCATTCTCCGAAAAAACAAAAGTTCAAAGTGACAATGTCATCACAAAAAATCATGTGCACTGTCTTCTGGGATAGGAAAGGCGTTTTGCTTACTGAATTTCTACCCAGAGGTAAAACCATTAATGCGGCACGATACTGTGAGACTTTGACAAAACTAAGGCATGCCATTCAAAACAAACGAAGAGGAATGCTTAGTAAAGGAATTGTGTTGCTCCATGACAATGCTCGGCTCCATACTGCTGGTGTCACTCAATCGTTAATTCGACAGTTTCAATGGGAGCAGTTCGATCACCCACCGTACAGCCCGGACTTGGCACCGTCCGACTATCACTTGTTCCTGCACATGAAGCGCACGCTTGGTGGCAAGCGCTTTGGATCTGATGATGACACAAAAAATGCTGTGGATTCGTGGTTATCAAAACTGGCAGGAAGTTTCTTTGACGATGGTATACAAAAACTGGTCACCCGCTATGACAAGTGTTTGATCATTGGCAGAAACTATGTTGAAAAATAGTTTAAGACATGTATTTTCGTGTAAAAATAAAATTGGATTCGAAAAAATTGTTTTACTATTTTTTTTTTTTTTTTTTTTTCAAAAAGGTACTTAGTTTCCAAATACGCCTCGAAAATTCTAAAAACACAGAAGTGGTGGTAGGTAACAAAGGATACAAAAGACACATTTAAGCTGACACACAAACTGAAAAGTCTGACTTAATAATAATGCAAAATACAAAATCTGGACATCCAGTATCTGGAATGATTCAGAATCTGGACTTCCAGATCATTAAGATAAATAAGTAAAATAAAATAATAATAATAAATTTTAGCCTTTTAACATAGTCTATGAACGGAGAATAGAATAACAATAAGGAAGCAGGTGTGCCGCAAATGCACTTTTTTTTTGGGGGGGGGATTCCAACATGTCACTTTCAAACACCTACTGACAATTGAGACACACTGTGGTCAATAACAAATGCAATGATTTTGGTCTTTGTCAGAGGGCAGGGCCATTATGCATTTAACCACCTGGTGAAAGCATGTATTTTTATATACATTTTGGCACCTCTGGGTCTTAAATTTTGCTCTGCAGTACCTCTTTAAATTATAAGAAATTAGCTGCCCCTAAATTCTAAAGCTAAATGCCTCTTCTAAATTCTAAAAATTCTGTCACCCTTAATATTTGCTGCTCCACTGCTCTGCTCAACTCTAAAATTTCTGCTGCACCTGAATTTTCACAGTGTTGTACCTTTTGTGGTGACAGTTCTGCGAAGGTTAGCATTTTTCTATGTGACCTACAAAATGACTGAAGCCTCAATGTTGCATGTCTACATGAAATCTTACTAGATTTAAACTAATGATATAAAATCTGGAATCAACAAAGTCCTGATGATCCTGAATTTTGGACTTATATGTGTTTAAATAAATCATGAATAACACAAAATAAACCAGAATAAAATGTATTTTGTTTGAACCTGCTGCTTCCACTTATAAAACACTATCCCTGCAAAAATCAAGAATTCATTAGCACTACTAATAGGAAAATCTTCCAAAGTAATACATACCTAGGAGCCAAATTAGCATTCTTTTCATAAAAATGTTTTAATTGTTGAGGATTAGGAGCCTGTAAATTTAAGAGAACAGTAAGAACTATGTGAAACTTCCTAAAAATAATCATTTAAGCAAACATATATACATCATAATGATTAAAAATAAATGAAGATATATACATTGTCATGAAAATTTTATACTACTAATAGATAGCAAATTTAAGACAAAATACATACATGCTAATTTTTCATACATAGAAATAAATGGAGAAATATAAAACTTTATTTAAAAAACTAACAAAAATTAAAAAATTAGCAATTAAAAAAGGCAAGTTAAAATTAGAAAGATTCTGGAAACTCACCATGAAAGGAGCTTTCCCAGTCAAACACTGATACACTATAGTGCCTATACTCCAAAGATCTGCTTTTGCATCATATTTTAGAGACATAATAACTTCAGGAGCCTAATTTGATACCAAGATTAGCATATATAAATAAAATAACATTATTTCATAAATATTCATTAATTTCAACTTTCATAAATTTCACTGAAATAACATTATCATAAAGCAACTTAACGAAGTTGAAATATGATAATATTATCCCACTTACTTCCTAACAATTTACACAAAAATTTGTTTCTACATGAGAACATTTATAAACACATACTGATCAACAAAAATGTTGCTGCTTTAGTTTAACAACAATTAAATAAAGAAAAATTCAATTATTCTGAATATGACTACCATATGGGCCTATTAGAATACCTGCAAAATAAAATCAGCTATTCATGTTAATTTACAAAGTTATTTGCTAAGGGTATAATTCCTATCTTAATCAACCCTTTTTTTTTAATCCCTCTTAGAAGTTTTAACTACAACCACAGAAGTGATTACTTAATTAGGACATTTAACATATCTCTACATGCACTAAAACGTAAGATTAATTACAAGATTAAATCACAAAATTAAAGTTTCACTATTAAGATATATATTAGCACATGCGCTTACTTCAAAAATTAAAGAAAGTTTATTTATAATTAAATCTTGCACTGATGTTTTTATCAACAGGAGTATTAAAAAATTAAATTATTGCTTAAAATATCTTTATGTAATTTGTTTTCAATACTTTGACATATTGTCTTATGCCTTAATTTTGTTGATAACTACAAAGAAAACCAGAATGAAAACATTGTATATCAAGTAGTATATCAGTAATTCGTAACTCATCAGGTTTTATTAGCTTAGGATTTATTTAAATTCAAGTGGTTTTAGTCTGAACATAGCCATTTATCTTTGATGCTCATTAGTGTGTGCTGCTGCTCTCAGTGTCCTGCTATTTTTATGGCATATTGCCACATTAAACAAAGAGTATGCATAATTTTTTTAAAAAAAGAAAACTTAAGACTGTTTTTATAAACAGGCAAATATAACAAGCATGCTTTAAGTCAACATTTCTCAAACTGTGATCTTCGAAGCCTGCCTTTGTGCTCTTAGATTAAAAAAAAAAAAAAAAAAAAAAAAAAAAAAAAAAAGACAATAAAATTCAAATTAACTGTGTACACAATATTATAACTGAAAATCTTAAGAGACTGGACACATGGCAATTGCCTATCTCTTTTTCTCTTAAGACTGATATTTTATGAAATTTATTACCAGTTACCCTACCTATGGATCTCCGACTCTTGTCTTAGGAACAAAAGATAGATTTAGAGCATTATAACTGCGATGGCTCATTTAACGCCCAAGCCACATTTAATGTCCATGTTAAAAATAAGTCCCAAAAGACTATATTCTTTGTTAGAAATTTGCAGGCCTTGGTGATTCTAGGTACAGATTTCATCAAAACAGCCAAAGTAAAAATCAATTTCCAGGAGGAAATATTGAAATTGCAAATGCAAGCCATTGCTGAGGAAGCAGCATAACCACATAACCACCAGTGTTAGAACTAGGTCGCATACAACCTGAAAAGAAGAAAAAATTGGAAGATTTGATAAGAATTTTTTCTGATAAACTTGGCACCATGCAAAATCTAAAACTAAAAAAAAAAAAAAAAAAAAAAAAACTCAGTTGCGTAACAGCTCTAGTGGGCCAATGCCTGCGGTGCCCTCAAATCTGCTTTCTTGACCGTGGGCCCCGGGATGCATAAGCATATGCCCTGAACAAGTGGTCGGCTTGTCGCAGGACCCCCAGTTCAGTGTTTAGTTCCCAAGCGAACTTGTTTCTCATTTTATCGACCCAAAGGATGGAAATCAAGGGATGAAAAGCTGAGTCGACCTTGCCCAGACCGGGGATCGAACCCCAGATATGTAGTGCTGCTGCGCGATGCGCTAGCCACTGCACCACCCGGTCTACCATATAAAATCAGTCAGCCTAAAATTAAATTAAAGAATAACAGCCCCTGTAAAATAAAACCATACAGGTATGATAGGTTGAAGAAGGAATAACTGAGCAGCATATTCAAGATATGTTTAAAAAATAAAATAATTAATCCATCAGCAGTCCATAGGCTAGTCTGGTAGTATTATGACGGAAAAAGAATGATTTGCCACCTATGAATTTCAAAGCATGGCTATTGATTATAGAAAGCTAAATAGTTTAACAAAATATCCTGTCCAATGCCTATAATCAAAGAAATTATAAAGAAGATTAAATCAGCTAAATTTTATGACCACACTAGGGTCCCTCAGGGTATTTTCAAATAGCTACGAAACCCAAAGACGCCCCCAAAACTGCTTTCATAATAAAATCAGGCACTTATGCCTTTTGGCTTGTGTGCAGCCCTAGATACCTTCCACCTTACCATGGACATTATATTAAAACCTGTCCTGAGAAAATCCATCTTTATTTACGTCGACGACAAAATAGTAACTGGTGAAAATATCAATGAACATATTAAAGATTTTAACCGTTTGACTGCTACACGGCGCAAAAGCGCTGCGTTCATTTGTCTCAAAAACTGTGACGCAGTTAGTTCTTTTAGAATGCACTCGTGTTACAAAGTACGTGTGAGGTCAGACTACCTGCGTTCACACCCACAGAGCAACAAAGACACACTGAAACTCTTTGAGACAAATGAATGCAGCGCTTTTGCGCCGCGTAGCAGTCAAACGGTTAATGAAGTTTTCATATTATTAAGAGAAGAAGGTTTAAAAGTGAATGTGACCACATGTAAATAAGTTTGTGACAAAATAGCTTACGTACGTAGGCTATGAAATTTATCAAAGAAGCATACAAACTGAAGATTTGAAAATAACTGCAATAAAGAATTACCGGCCACCAAATACAATGAAGAAATTAGCCTCATTTTTGGGCATGTGCTCTTACTATCAAACATTCATAAAGGACTTTGCATACACAGCTGAGCTGCTGTTAAAATCAAAGCAAAAGAGAGCACGGTTTCCTTAGTGAGCTGAGGTTAATAGGCTTTTGAGAAGTTAAAAACTGCTTTAATACACGCATCGGTTTTAAAATTTCCTCAAGGGGATGAAAACATTGAAATTTCATTGGACACCTCAGATTATACTGTAGTCACAGTTTTGCACGTTATGGTCAACCCATGGTCTATTTTTCCAAAATTCTCAATCAAGCACAACTTAATTACACATCTACAGAGAGAGAAACACTGGCTGTACTTTAAGGGGTGCAGAAGTATAGAGTATATTTTAGCAAGGTCCTGATAACTATATATTTGGATAATAGTGCTGTGGGTTGATTATACTCTGGAAAAAAATTGTCTCCACAGTTAATCAGATGGGTCTTAAAACTATAAGAATACAAATTAATAATTAAGCATAAGCCCAGAAGAGTCAATATTGTGGCTGATGCTTTATCATGCTCTATGTAGGGGGGGGGGGGCGTCGCGACGCGCAATGAACTGGAAATTGATCTGTCAGCACTATCCTCATCTTCAAGGCAGTTGTTTTTATTTTATTCGGCTTATAATTATGTAATCCATCTTTGATATGATTTAAATCAAGTTCCTCGTTGTTATAAATATCACGAATACACATCAAATAGTTTTCTGGTTGCAATTCTCTAATTTTGACTATGTGTAATGTATGCTTTACGCATGCACGCGTTGAAAGAAATGTTTAATAAAGTAAACAAATTAATATTAAGCTTTTTTTTTTTTGTAAATTTTGATACCCTTTAGATCATAATTGCTCTTTATTTCATAAATTGTGGTTTCATATTTTTAATTTTATAATTTCTGCATGCCACCATACCCGTCCGGATTAAAGACTTTGTACTGTAGTATGACAACATTAACTTTTGTGTGATAATGGTAATAATAATACAAAAAATACAGCATAACAACAAACAAAGTCTATGCTCTCACGCAAAAACTGAAATGAGAGAGCCCTCCTATTTGTTGTCAGATAACTTTGATAAATATTGCACTATGTCACATAGATGTAACACCTTGCAATGTTTGAAAGGAAGAGTAAGAAAACGAAAAATCTAGCTTTCTTTATACAAAACTGACGTAATGAATGTTTTACAAAAAAAAAAAAAAAGAGAGAGAGAGAGAGAGAAATCAGGCCTTGCAGTAGTCAAGTAACTAAACACATGGAGTGCAGCCAATGCTTAGTTCCTGACAGCAAAAAAGTTAGCTGTACGTACTTTTTCTCATGCAAAATATAAATATGTTTCAGTTTTCCCAAATTCACTGACACGTTTTGCTTTTTTAACACTGTCTTCTGGCATTTCTCTAACGTGTAAAATGCCGAGCTTTAATCCAAGCGTAACCATGTAAAATGCCCAACTTTAATTCCAAGCGTAGCTAATTTTATTAAAAATCTAAAGCTAAGTAAGCAACATAAAGTTAATCGTTCTTAATCTCCAGCTGGCAATACAAATTCAGCAGTTTAATAAGATTACATGAATCTGTAAATAGAAATTCGGATTTGATTTTATAATGTATTACTTTTCATCAGCTGATATTGTTGCATTATCTGAGAAATGTAAACGCAAAATATTTAGGGATGCTTTGTACATAAAACTCCTAATTTTTCCAAGGAATAAACAAAAATCATGCCAAGTATGTTTATTAAATACCCATTAAAAATAAAGACAATGGTAATTTAGACTGTCAATGTTGCTAGTGACAAGTTGGGGGGGATAAAAGGATTCTTTTGCTGCATACTCAAATTTCAGTAAACCATTTGCTTTAAAAATTTCAAAACTAGATGAAAAAATAAAAGTCTCGAAGGGCAATATATTTTATTGTATATTTTATTGTATAAAACATACCTTATGATTTGAAAAAAACTAATATCTATTAAAATTATTTAAAATTTTTTTAACTTCAGTCTTATTTAAAATGCTCGAACACATAATGTGTGTGAAGGTGTAGGCTATAAATCACATCTCCTGATCAGTCAGCATTACAAATATATTTAATTATGACTTCTAAATAATGAGACTACTATTATAAACATAACATTTTAAGAAATATAATAAATACTCAACCAAATTAATCCTTATTAGCCAATTCAGCAATTTGCTTTAATATAGTTTCCTAAATAAGCAATGAAACTCTATACACAACACATGTGAACATAGTTGTTGTCACGTCTCTGATAAAGCCTATTCAAATAGTGTTGCAGGCAAAGAGTGCACAATTTTGCGCGGCAATGCGCAAAATGTTATCTTCATAGAGGGTCTCTCAAAAAAGACCCCCAATTTTTAACAATTCAGCAAGGATGGGCAGACAATTAAAAATGTGTGCAGTTGTCAGTTATGTGCCTGAGCAGTTATTACAGAGTTATGTCTGAGCAGCTATTACTGCATATTTTTCTACCCTCTCTGTTAGTTTTCAGTCCTCTGTGATAGCCAGTTCTAAGTCGATTTCTAATGATGTTAAGGAGCTGACGCTTTATTGGAATTGAAAGTTCCTTCAATCTGTATTTGGCTATGGCATTTGCATCTGAGAAAAGATATTTATATTATTATTGTTGTTGTGATTTCGGGCCTATTTTGCCAGTTTATCTGCATTCTTGCTACCTGTGATGTTTGCTAAATGCACTAGAAACACATTTTATCTACCCTTTTGTTTAGATGTATGCTCCATTTATATTTAAAATGTCCTCTATTTAAAACATTATATCTGGCAATCCTGATCTTAAGGCATCTCTACTAAGGCAGCTGGTTAGCTTTCAAGCAATTTGTTTTAATTAATTACCAAAACTTAGCAAACAAAATAAATGTTCTGTAATGTGATTTTACTTCAAATAAATGAAAAGTTTCATTTTATATTATAATATCTGAATGACAATCGTGAAGTTGCAACTGCTTTTAATTAGACTTTTAAAATGTTTTGATATAAAATAAAAATAGTAAATTTTAAAACCAAATTCATTGAAATAATGAACAGTGTTAATTAAAAGAGAGAAAAATTAGTCTTCTAAACTTTAGTTTTTGTGGTAATAAACATATAATTCAGCATTTTATGCATAAATTGTAGATAAAATACAATTAATACTTTGATTGATAGGAAAAAAATTACCATATACATAGGTGAACCACACAGTGTTGCTGCCATTACTCCATCAGTCAAGAACCTGGCAAATCCAAAGTCAGCAATTTTGAGTGTTATCTCAGATGGCAATGGATTAGGTTTACCAGAGTGACATAACAAAATATTTTGTGGTTTTAAATCACGGTGGACAACTTCTTTTTGATTTAATACCTTCATTGCTTCAGCTATTTGTTTATTAAAAAAAAAAAAAAAGATGCCTTAATGTTTTGATAATATAACAGAACGTAATATATATATATAATTGTTACTTTAATTTCTAAAATGTAATTAAAAGAATATCATATGAGGATGACACACACTTATATTACTATACACACATACTCACCAATCTGCCTGAGAAATAATCTAATAGTGTCTTCACTAAGACTTCCCTTAGCTGCAAACATAAAAATTTACATTATTAGTTATGAGAATAAAGAGGGCAGAATAGCTAAAGAAACATTCTTTAAAGGAAAAAAAAATAATAAATAAATAAAATAAGTTATTAAAAAAATTATACTTTAATAACTCACCATTTAAATATTCTGATAAGTCCCCGCCATTGCAATACTACAAAAGAGAAAGAAATTCCCCCTTAGTATTTTTAATAATTTTTTGGCCACCTACTGACTAATAATGTTAAAATTTTAATTATTCATGAAAGAGGTTTGAAATGAATTGACATATTCCACGTTAAAACATTAAGTATATTGAGAATATGTTACATGGCAATAAACAACCAACACAAGATAAACACAACACTTACTGTTGCCAAACTAACATCATGAAATTTATATAGAAATACAGTTGTCGTTCTACAAACATGCTGTAAATATTGAGATTGGCATACTACTTGCAACATACACACTTCTATAAAATTTAAACATGCAGTCATTGCACACATTTACAGAAAATCAATGTAACTGCTATTACACACATAAACACTACAGACCTTCACTTATGAATATATCATTAAATGAACTCATATTAAGTACTGCTAGAAAACACAATATATACATAAAAACAATTAAGAAAAATTTATAACTGGCTTCATTCTAGAGTTTTACGTTTAGCATCTACACAGTTATGACCATAATAGTTTATATTGTCACAAACTTCACGGAGTTCATTTTTACATGCAAGTATCAGCATAGGTCATGTCACGTAAAAGTTCTTCCTAAGTCTGCTTACTTAGAAGATCAGCAAGATTGTCACTGGATGGCACATGTTCGAATACAATCACAATTTCTTTCACTAGGTCTCTCAGAAAATGAAATTTAATATCAATGTGCTTACTTACCATGTTACTTCTTTATGTTATTTCTTTCAGAAGTTAACAATGTTACCAATTTAGCCAAGAAGAACCATGTTACTTCTTTGGCTCTTGGCTAAGAAGATTGCTTTCTGGTTGTTAATTAGCACTTTTTAAGGTGAAGGAGCTAATTCACAACAGATTTCTTTGATCAAACTTTTAATCCATAGGATTTCCTTGGCAGTGTGACACATGGCCACATATTCTGCTTCTTTCGATGATAAAACAGTTACGGATTGCTTTATCATCGATAGAAGCTACTCACAAGTGCTCCATGAAATTGGAGTATTATATAACGACTGTAAGATTTACGGTCAGTTCTGTAACTCCGCAGTCAGTGTCAGAGTAGACTAGTGGCTCACCTGTCTTCCGGAATCTCAACTTTTTGTGTCGAGTTCCCTTAAGGTATCTTAGAATGTGCTTCACACCCCTCCAGTGTTCCTCACAGGGTTGTGGAGTCAGAATCGGGCAGATTTGGGGGTAAAAGGAGTCGGAGCTGGAGTCTCTAAAAACAGTCCGACTCCAGTTTGAATTTGAAATGAAATTAAAATGAATTAAAAAAAATTAATCACAAGCTGAATTATTATTTTTATTTACGAACTATATACATTAATAAATAGTTATTTTCTATTTTATTGACATATTAATAAATAAATATAAGGGAGGAGGATAGATGTGATATTTGCCATTAGTGATTAAACTGATTCATTTAGTTACAAATTTCACTGGTAAATTTAGGTAAGCAGTAACAGCAGCAAGAACTCTCAAAATTTTTAGAAAGCGAGCAGGAAAAATAGCAATTTTTTATCAAGCAATGCGATAAGGAAGTACATATTTGACGGTTGTTAGAATAAAGAACTTTTTTAGAAGATGTAAATAACCCTAATGTTTCACTAACAGAAAGACAATGGAATGATCTTGCAGAATTGGAAACTCTTCTTTCTACACTGTATATAGCCACAAAAAAGCTGCAATCTGAAGAATTGACAGGAGGTGAGAATGGAAGAATGTGATGTTTGTTCTGAAATGGAGGGTTTATTGCAGAAGGAATCATTTCTTCAATGAAGAAAAGAGAAACTAGTTTGCTAGACAACTTGGTGGGTTCAATATATGTAGATCTGAAACAATGAATTTCTTGGATGACGAATAAATTAAAAAGGCAAGAAAACCATCTATGAACTTTCATTAAGAATGAAATTATTCTCAGAATGATTAGAGAATTCAAATCAAGACAGTCAAACTGCAGACATTGCATTTGAGTCTCTATCATTCTCTTCCAATGATGAATTAGATTTTGAGAAATATTTTTGGATAATATTGAAAAGGCTGAGGCAAAGCGAATGAAAACAAAGATCCAAGAGCATTTAGATATAAAAATGAAAAAATACAAACAAGATTTCTACACGGCCTTTGAAGAAATAGAGAAATATGATTGCGCTTGCAAGACACATCTTTAAAAACGTTTAAAAATCTACCCTGAAAAGTTAAAAGAAGTAGCCCTAACAGTAATAGCTCTTCCTCCTGCTCAAGTTAGTGAGGAAAGTTTCAAGTTAGTTCAGCTCAAAGTTTATCAAATTGAATCTATGGCTCTTCAACAAAGAAGATTTTGCTGAAGCTACACTATTTCTTAGAAATAACTAATGCCAGTTTTCCCATTTCGTAATAAATGCTAATTAATATAAATAATTTGCTATGCCATCAATTTTTTTTCTGTAGGATCTATTACTTCTTTTATATTAAAAAAATAAGCTGTAACCCATGTATGTATATGTTTACACACACACACATATATATATATAATTAAAGAAAAGAGAACAAACTAAAAAAGACCCTTGTGGTCAAGAACTTTGCGCATTAAGTTGCAAAATTTAGAAAACAAGTTAAAAGAAAATTCTTAGTACTCATTCTAAAGTAGCTTAGATACTGTGGTTCCGGCGACAATTTTAACATAAGTAAAATAAAGTGCAATGAAAAGTGAAAAACATTAAATAAACAATATTAACACTAGAATATTTACAAATAAAATTCAAAACTAATTGCAAGTAATATGCTGATCAAGGTAAGGCATACTTTAAACAATACAATAAAAGTGTGACATAAGACTTAAGCAAAAATACAAAAACAAAAAAACGGTATATGGTAGATTAACCCAATTCGAATCTCATTACCAACTCTTCAGGGGAAATTTTTATAACGATTTTCGAATCCAGCTAATTCCATATTTCCGTCGAAACAGACAATTGAAACTAAATACGAAACTCTTTTTGAATATTAATTGAAAAAACTTGGTCATAAATTTTAGTCTCAATTTCCTGTTCCATTTCCCGACGTGTTCGCTTGAAAAAACACATTAAGGTGTGAGAAAAAAAAATATACATAAAAGTCTGGTTATGCCAATATACAAAATAACATAAATAGTGATTTGCTATTAGTCAAAATTACAAGATTTTAAGGGAGGACCTACTAGCTTATAGAGTTTTAAACTTTGTGAACGTAGCTAAAAAAATTAAATTAAAAAAAAATTAAAAAATAAAATACAAAGCGAAGAAGACTAGGAAAATATTAAAAGGGTCTTGCTATGACCAAAAATCATAACATGAGAAAGAAAAAAAAATTTTTTTAAACAGACCTGGAATGTCGATGTCTTCTTTCTGGACCCATGCTAACTCAAAAGAGGGATGAAAGCCTCGAGGAAGAAAGTTGCCAACCAGGATGACGTAAAAGGGGAAGGAACCTCATTATGAAAGAGCCAATGAAAAGTCACTGACCATTGGCATAAACCTGACTCAGTGCGAGGGGGTGGCAATTTGTTCAAGAAATTGTTCAGGAATTCGTCTTGCTTGATGAGTGGAACTTCCCACTTTAAGGAAAGTGGGCATAGGCGAAAGAAAAAATGGCTAATTCTACAAAATGTTAAAATATGGCCACAAAAGTAAGAATAAATAGAAAAAATATAGTATATTGTTAACTAAAGTCGTAATTCTTCAATCTAGAGGGCTATCAAGCTATCAGAAATGAAATGGCCCATAAAATCAATAACAGGATAGATAAGGCTAGAAAAAGCTTAAAATCTATTTAAGAGAATAGACTTAGAAGTACTGTGCCAAATTTTAAAAGTAAAATTGAAGCTGTGAGAGGAAGTAATTTTACATTTATACATTAGATTCTCTGAATTAGCCATCCACTTTACACCATCCCATAGGGCTTTAAGCATACAATTTCATTATCTAAATAAAAATTCTAAAAAAAAAAAAGTTAATGCCAGCCTTTTTCAAAGCATTTTTAATTACTTTTGTAGGAATTAGGTTGTTCTACAAGATAGTTACAAAGTAGAGTACTTCTTCTTGGAGGTGCTTTGTAGTTGAGGGAGTTGGAGTCTTTAAAATTCCAAGAGTCGGAGTCGGTCATTTTCCCTACCGACTCCACAGCGCTGATTCCTCAGTATGTTCTTCATTGAACTGGCTCATGTAGGTGGAAGAATAGGCCATGTCTGGACGAGTACCACAAGTCAGATAAAGGAGACTTCTTATATCCTGCTTGTAAGGAATTTTCTTGTTGTTGCCTTTGATTTCATTCCACTGTTGTCCACCTACCTTCTTATATTTTATGCTGGGGTCCAATGGCATGGCTGCATATTTTGCTTCAGTCATTTTAAATGTTTCTAGGATTTCTGACACATAAGCGGTTTGATCTAGAGTGTATGATCCATCTTCTTCTTTGCATATTTGCATGGATCAGATTTGGCTTACAGGACCTATTGGCAGTGAGCCTTTTCTTGATGCTTTCCTTGAATTTATTTACCTCTGGCATGTTTCCAACTATCAGGAGATCATCAACATAAACTCCAACTATGATGTTCTTCTCGTGACAAAAGTACAAAGATCTGCACTTGATCTTTTCAATCCATATTGCATCAGGAAGTCATTCAAACAGGTATTCCATGCACGTCCTGATTGTTGGAGGCCATAAATGCTTTCCTTCAAGTGGCAGACACGGTTTCTTTCCCTTTCTCAATGCAACCTTCTGCCCTGTGTCATATATATGTCCTTTTCTAGGATTTGATTAAGGTATGCAGCTGTCACATCCATTTAGTGAACCTCTAGGTTTTTCTCTGCAGCTATGGCAAGCAGTAATCTTATAGATTTAAGTTTAATGACCAATGAAAAGGTATCTTGAGAGTCCACTCCAGGTATCTGCAAATAGCCCTTTGTCACCAATCTGGCTTTAAACTCTTAAAATTCCCAATCTCATCATTTTT